TTTATTACTCACTTACTTACGCCTGTTACTCCCAATGAAGCATAGGCCGCCGACCACCATTCTCCAACCCACTCTGTCCTGGGCCTTCCTTTCCACTTCTGTACAATTTTTCGTTCATTTTTCTCATGTCTGTCTCCCTTTCTCGACGTAATGTGTTCTTTGGTGTTCCACTTCTCCTTTAGCCTTGAGGATTCCGTTTGGGCGCTTGTTTTGCAACGCAGTTCGGTGCTTGCCTCAATGTGTGTCCTATCCACTTCCAGCACTTCTTCCTGATTTCTTCCTCCACTGGGATCTGGTTTGTTCTCTCCCGCAGTTGGTTGTTGCTAATAGTGTCCGGCCAACGGATCCGAAGTATTTTGCGTAGACAACTGTTAATAAATCCTTGTATCTTCTGGATGATGGCTTTCGTAGTTCTCCAGGTTTCTGACCCATATAGTAGAACTGTCTTGACATTTGTATTGAAAATCCTGACCTTGGTGTTGGTTGACAGTTGTTTTGAGTTCCAGATGTTCTTCAATTGTAAATATTCTGCTCTTGCTTTGCCGATCCGCGCTTTCGCATCTGCATCAGATCCACCATGTTCATCAATGATGCTGTCCAAATATGTAACGGTTTTACATCTTCCAAATTTTCTCCGTCAATTGTGATTGAATTGTTGCATGCTGTGTTGTATCGGGGAATCTTGATTTTCCCTTTGTGTATATTGAGACCTACTGTTGCAGAGGCTGCTGCTTTACTGGTCGTCTTCTCCTGCATTTGATGTTGCGATTGAGATAGAAGGGCCAGATCATCTGCGAAGTCCAGATCGTTCAGCTGCATCCTAGATGTCCATTGTACCCCCTGCTTACTTTCAGATGTTGACGTCTTCGTGATCCAGTCGATCAGCAGGAGGAAGAGAAAGGGTGAGAGTAAGCGACTTTGCCTGACACCGGTCTTTACCTTGAACGAGTCTGACAACTGTCCCCCATGCGCGATTTTGCACTTTAATCCATCCGCTTTATAAGCCCGTGAATAAATAAACATCAAAACTGAGCCTCCGTTGTTGAAAAGGTAATAAAATCAAAGAGTATATGGTGGTTGTAACTTGCATATGATATTCCGAAGTTTATAAGCGATTTTCTACAATTCAAAATTATTTTTATTCGAAAAATCTAAGTAAAAATATCTATGAAGGAGATCTAACTCCGAACGTACAAGAATTCAACAACGTTCATATATTTCCATAGACCAATGAAGCTAATAAAGCACTTAGAATCAACAACAGGGTACCGAAACACCAATTTGTACGATACACTTATATTCACTATAATATTTCTTTGTGAGTTCACTTTGAACAAAGTCAGTCAGCTACAACATAGGACCAGGCAAATATATTCATTGGTCCAAGTTGCCATACCTTATTAGCACAACAAGATGAACACAAAATTCATAGAAGCAGTCACTTCAAAGATAGTAACATATAAAAAAGACTACATATAAGGATATGATACCGGGAGAAAGGTATGAAGTAATTTCAGTCTCACGGTTTAAGGAAAGACAAAGAGTGTACACATCTACGCCATTGTGGTCGATTCTGAGCTATGTCACCAAGAGTCTCCAACCATTGGTTACGATAGTCACGCGGACGCCAACTGAAGTATTCTGCATCCACCAACATGGCTCAGATCAGAAGTTAGTGACTTCAAGCACTGGTGCCACGTTTTGGTTTGGCCGCCCCTAACTTTCTTCCAATCATCCCCAACACCAGTCAGTATTGCATGTCGTGGTAATCGGCGCTCAGGTACACGTAACCCAACCATCTCAGTCGATGAAGATTCACAATCTCATCAACTGACATACCATCATTTCCTAATACAGTGCGTCTAACCTCTCTATTACTTACCCGATGATCCCAGAAGATGCTGCCAGTATTCCTAGGACATCTGCTATCAAATACTAATAACTTACGAGTATCTTCTACTCTTAATGACCACGTTTCGCAGTCGTAAAGTAGAAGAGAACGAACTGCCGAGCAGTATACTCGTCCCTTAATTGATAGACGGATATCTCGCCTTCGCCATAGGTGACGTAAGTTAGCACAAGCCAAACGAGCTTTTTGAATCCGTGCGGAGATTTCTTCAGACACCAAACCATCAGGGCTGATCAGACTTCCAAAAATAAAGAGATAAGTTCTTAATAAAATGTTTCTGAGATCTACACCATAACACTGTTTATGCGACGTGACTGACGTTCTCACCATGTGATAAAATAAACTTTTTCTTATCCAAACTGAGCGGTTTTCAGTTCTAAGTAAAAGTAACCTTAAGAAATCTATTCAAAGAGTAAATGATGATTCGCACTACATTTTGAAGCTTATGCAAAGAACTCAAAGTTGCTAATCTGGTTGGTTATTTATAGGTAATAAAGTCTAACCACTATTTTATTGAAGGTAAGCTCTGTACAGTTCTACTGTACGGAGCTGAAACTCGAAGAGCTAAGACAACCATAATCAAAAAGGTACAAGTATTAATAAACAATTTTCCACGCAAGGTACTCAATGTCCGTTGACTGGATACCATCAACAACAGCCTACTGTGGGAGAGAATAACCCAGCTTCCGGTTGAAGAGGAAAAAACACTGGAAGTGGATAGCACATACATTGTGGAAATCACCAAACGGCATCACAAAGCAAGCGCTAAATTGGGATCATGAATGGAAACGTAAAACAGGAAGGCTAAAAAACACTGCGTCTGGAATTGGAAGCGGACATGAAAAAGATCAATGACAACTGGGAAGAAATGTGCAGGACAAAGTTGGATGTAGAATGCTGGTGAGTGGTCGATGCTCCTCCACGAGAGGTAACAGGCGTAAGTAAGTAAACCGAATAATCTACATCTGTTGGGTATCAATGTGTTTTATTCTATATAAGGCAATCAGAAATAAAATGCTTACAAAAGAAAAATATGAGCAGTTTTATTTAGTTCTCGTAACTGTTGTTTCTATTCGGTGCACTTATTTTCCAACTGTTTCATTAGTGGTAATACCGTAAGTTAATGTTACACGAATCGTCGAAAACACTTGTATTTCTTTATTATGATTCATAATTACCTCAGCCATTTCCTTCTAACCAAATAGAGTTTAGGAATTTTGTTGTAATCATCATCATTTAGAGTATCACTACCTTTCTTCGATCATTGGTCGACAGTTGGTATTTCATAGTCTTAATGATTATAAATTCGCGGTACACAAAACTGGTGACAAACCAAACAATAAAATAAATTCATCTTATCATGCGAATCTTATTCCCTTTTCGTCACTCATTTTTCCTGTGAAAACAAGATGTGATTGAATGTAACGAAATCCCTTATCATCCCCCCCCTAGCTAATACGATTCGAAGGCTTTAACATTTTATGTAGATGGGTATTTGCTTCTTAATTCATTTGATGAGACATATTATTTTAAACCGGAAGAATTCGGAGGCGACCATCACCATGTACTAATATCATTGAATTAACAGGAGGGGTTTGAATAACTCGATAGATTCCGTTTTTGGATTTAGTATGATCACCGGTTATGGATGTATCGGGATTCAAATATATTCATAAAACACAGATAATACTTGAAATCCTCAAAGAATGTGTTATCGATATTTTGAAACGTTGTTTACGTTCAGTGGACCTAGTGATTAAATGGCCATAAGATTAAAGTCTTAGACAAGATGGCTGTTCTATAACATATATTGTGTCAAAGCTTACCATAGCTTTAAAGAAAAAGTTGGAGGAAAGTTAAGAATGACTAGGCCTGGATATATTAGCAGTTCATGAAATCATATAGCCTGTTGGTTTCCAGTCATTTAAACATAATCCGCCCGGAAACAGTAGATGTTCGTACACTACTGAGAAATATGACAATTTTAACTGATGTACTCCATACAATACCATGACCAAATTTGTCTGTTGAATAACATTACTCAATACTTTTAGAAATGGATATCCCAGAAGAAGACTAAGAAAGTCCTTAAAAAACGGCATGAATTTTCGTGCACTGGTCTAATTCGAAATTTCTGTTAATAACTTTAGATTTGAAGGGAGCCACAATTATCAACATTTATTAGGAAGGATAAGAGAGGGAATTACTTAGCCGTTTAATTTCAGTTGATTAAATTTTGCCATAAATTAATTAGACATGCTTTAAGTTTCATTTGTTTAGTACTCGCTCAGTATATATGTATAACAATGAGTAGAATATTCAACTCAATTAAACCCCTTGAATTATTTACTGCTTACTTCCGATTTGTGTAAAAGAAAAAGAATCGCGTAACTGAAGTATACAAAAGCAATTAAGTTATGCATCGATAATAATTCATTTAAATATTGACAGAATAATTTAACGTTTAATGCATAGTTGACATGCTCCGATAAATAACGGATTTCAGTAATACCAAACCTTTCATGAAATTCTATATTCCAAGCTAAATCCAAGCATGCAGCACACCAATGAACTGCTAGAACGAATGAAATCGAAGTGATGTATATGAGGAAATTTTCAAAATCTCAGAAAAGACACACATGTCGTTTAACTTATGAAAGTACCAATTTTTACTGAGATATGTAAAAATTAAAATGATGAGTATCCAAAAGATCAAAATGCTTGATCCCATCGTTAGTTATCATTAGACTGTTAAAACGCAACCGAAGTCACAGCGCTCCAAATTACATTGAGGGCGGAACGTCATGCAATATTATGGGGAAAAATACTATCATCATCAGGAAATAAAAGCTTTTTAATCCAGATAATAATTATACGGGATGAAAGAGAATATTAAGAAAGAAAACTACAACTGTACAAAACAAATTCGTGATATGGTAAATGTACAAACAAACATGATAAAAGTAGAAAGAAATCTAGTTCATATGATCGCAGACGCATTAGACTTAGAGTCCAGTAGACAAATGACTTTAACATTTATAACCATGATAGTAATCAAAACATACAAATTCATAAACGTGTGAATAAGGAATTACCAAATCACATTGTTTGAATTGGGAAGTTGAAAACAGGTAAGGAATTTCACTAAATGATTTGTGCTTAGTTCAACGACCGGACCATCACTATGACAACCATTACCAAGAGACTTTAGCGAAATTATGGATCGTTCACCAAAGAACGATTCAAATAGAATAAATACAATAGAAATAAGTAAAAAGATTAAGAGGCATCTTCCGAATGACCGTTTATCGATACTGAATATAAAATGTGGTAAAATATTAGAATAAGTTTGTGAGAAAAGTGTGTAATACAGTGAACCGTGAAAAGAACGTGAGCGTAAATGACCAACTGCAGTATCGAGATAATAGTTGTCCAACTGTATCGAGTCATTTGATGAGATCATACTGTCAATCACTTCTTTGTCTTTTTCTACAATAAAAGGAATAGTTGAATCAATTAAGTGTTGTTTTGCATGGCAAATTGACAAGTGTTTTGTTTTAACTATAATTGCATTTGATTTGTTAATTATTGCCGATTCTAAATCACGAATCATAGTTAGAATTTTCTGACGAAGCTCACAAGAAAAATGAATTAAATTGGTAATGGAGCATTTTGATATATTGACATCCAATTCTTTACCATGATGATCATGACTATCATGCTGTACAAGAATGTTTGATTTACAGGAAAATTTCCAGAAGTCATTGAATAAGTAACATGAACCCAAACGTGACTGGATAGTCCATAGATTTTCATTTAAATCCTAAAACAGAAGTATAAATTTGTAAACTATATTAAGTGAGAAAGGAAACTAGCAACACCAAATGTAAATTATCATTCGCTACCAAAATTCATATTCAATGTAAAAAAGTGACTATTCCAAATAACATAAAATCTAAACAAGTTCTAAGAGGAACTCACAGTAAATTTTAGTCATTTAGTCTTTTATTACGACAAGTATGTTAGGCTGAAAAAGTTCATTGTCACTAAATAACTAGAGAGATGGAATCAATCTAAACCATGTAACAGTGGTGTTATAAGCTCTCTCTCTTACGGTTAATGACCCAGCTATTCCTATTGCTTAGTATTCTCGGACACCGATTCACTCAACAAGTCCCCAAATCAGAACACGGTTGAACAGGAAAAAGATTATATTCCAAATAGCAAGTCAGAAGCCAGTAGGAAGGACAATAGGGGAAAACGTCGGTATGTTTATAGTTTTTACATAAGAAGATTCCAGAGTATTCTCCGACTATCGACTAGTGCTGATTGGATAAGAATCAGTCAATCAGCGTGCACCAAAGCAATCATGCATTGAGCATGCTTTAATCTAGTCTATGTCCCGCTAACAAGTGGATATTTTTAAATGCTTATTTTGAGAATATTGTGGTCAGGTTTGTTTACGTATATCCAAAGTATTAAATGGTAGAAGTATAGACAACCGCGGTGAGTTGATGACTGACGAAACCTCAGCAGGTATACCGAAAGACCGTTTAGTATTTGCTAACTTGTGCCACATTTGGTGTAGGGGAGATATCCATGTTTCAATTAAGAGGTAAGTATATTGAACTGATATTTGCTCTGTATTCTTGTGTGATGGTAGAAGACATAATTGAGTTTCAAGTAAATGATCAAAAGCAGTTTAAAAGCAATGCCTGTACATGATGAGCCGATTTAGCAATATCGAAGTTACCTGTAAGATACCAGGTAAGAAAAAGGCAGGTCTGATGATAAGGTCATAACTTTTATTATCGGAGGTAGTTAGAATATGTTATAAATCCCTGAAGACAACCTACAATCAGTCAGTAAACAACGTAGAACTTCTTACGTACGTACATCAGTTCGAGTAGCCATACCACATTAGCACAAAGGTACAATTGTCGACTCAAATCCCACAGCACTAGAGGTAGTAAAAGTATAAACAGTAATCGGAAATATTAGGGTTTGAAGATGTTATTCAAGGAGTATAATACGGTGAAATAAATTTGGAAAGAGAAAAAAGAAACATGAAGAATTCAGGAGATTAGAATTTGGGAGAACACAAAGAGTGGATGCACCTGCGCCATTGTAAACGATTTTGAACCATGTCATTCAAGGTCTCTAACCATCGATTGCTATCATTTCGCGGATCTCAACCAGGAAGTCTACACCTACCAACATGGCTCAGTCCACTTGTCAATGACTTCATGGATTTGTGCCATGATTTGGTTTGGCCAACAACCCACCCTTAAGTTCAATGTCGACGGACATGAGAGTAAGACAGAAATAGAGTTAGGGAAATTAGGAAATGACATCAGATCATGAAGTCACTGACCTCTGACCTGTTCTTGCATATATATATATATATATATATATAGTTATCATTGATAGCCATTGTCATTCCAATCCTTTACATTCACTTATGTCAATTGTTCCATACTATTTCTTATCTTAATGTAAAATTCTAATACATATTTGGTTGTAAGGATCTGCGGAGAAACCACGAAATATAATGAATTCATATTATTGTGCATCAATAGTTGTTCTGGTTTTATTTGAAGTCACTGACCGACGAGGAAAAAAAAATCAAGATGCCCATATCAGATGACCAGCTTAGCCGAATACTACAACAACAGCAAGCACAACTTGATGCACAAATGCGGTTGTTGGAGACTCTGACCCAACAGCTTAACATCCACTGTTCGAGTTCATATGCTGTTTCAAGTACGTCTTGTGATGCAGTTGCTAGCAGCATCCCAGAATTCATCTATGATCCCGAAAGTGGAAATACTTTTCTCACGTGGTTCAAACGTTGGGAAGATACATTTAGACGATGCGTCGAAGACTCGACTGTTGGTACGTAAGTTGGGAAGCAATGAACATGCACGTTATACTGACCATATATTGCCAAAGTTACCTCACAGCTCAGTTTCGAGGAGACGGTAATTCAATTGTGAGAGATATTCGGTGAGTCATCCTCATTGTTTAGTATTCGATATCGGTGTCCAAATTTGGTGAAACGCGAAGCTGATGAATATGATGTTCTAGCAGACATCGTCAACAGAGAGTGTGAACGGTTCAAGTTACGCTCGTTGACAGAAGACCAATTTAAATGCTTAATATTCATCAAAGCTCTTTAGTCACCACAAGATGCTGAGATCAGGACTAGACTTTTGGCTCGATTGGATCAAGACCCAAACGTCACACTCAGAACATTGACAAATGAGTGTAAGCGGCTACAAAGCATCAGACACGACAACGAGTTGATTGAACAGGCAAATCCTAATTTAACCTGCAGTAGTGTCAATGCTATTACTATGTTAAAAGTTCAGAAGCCGATAACAACTCGTAACAAACCAACGACTGAATACTGGTTATGTGGTGATTGGCATTATGTACGATTCTGTCCATTTAAGAAGCATAAATGTCAGATGTACAACAAACGTGGACATAAAGAAAGTCATTGTCCACCGAATCGTACGCCTCAGCCCAAGAAACGTAAACGTCCTCGACAGACCAGATCCTACGAATCTGCTCAAAGGGGAGGTGTTAGCGGGACATAGACTGGATTAAAGCATGCTCAATGCATGATTGCTTTGGTGCACGCTGATTGAATAAGAATTAGCCAATCAGCGTTAATCAATACTTAGTGAACACTTTAGAAATCTCATGTGAAAAACTATAAATATACTAACGTTTTCCCTATTGTATTTCTTACTTGCGTCTTACTTCCATCTAACCTTGTTATTTGGAATATAATCTATTCCCTGTTCAACCATGTTCTGATTTGGGGACTTATTGGGTGATTTGGTGTCCAAGAATACTAAGCAATAGGAATAGCTGGGTTATAACCGTAAGAGAGAATTATAACAATTAGTAATATTAATTTAATAAATGGTCAAGACATCTCACTAAATTATGGATGGACATTATTGACATCCAAACATATGAATCAGGCTTTTGAAAAAAATTATCCTTGAGCAACTTATGAAGAGACCTTAAAATACATACGGATGTAATTGAATACTTAATTGAATAATAAATGCCAGTTTCTTTAAGTGAATCAACAAATAAAGGTATACAATTGATATACTTTAAAACTATGATTCTATTGCGTGAATTAAATTCTAAAAATGGAGCATAAAATGTAGAAAAGTAGTTATCTATCTGAAAGATTGTGAGATATTGATTTTCTTAGTCCCACTCATTGCTAATTTCATACTTTTCTGTCATTTTATTCCTTTTCCATACATTTTTAGAGATATGATGGGTAGAAGTGTGTTTCATTGAAAAGACGAGTTAATGCAGTTGATTATGGTTTTATTTAGTAATAGCCCTTTATCAACAGCAAGTTATCGAATAACAAACCACCAGTGCCATTAAAAATAAAGAGAATCAAACACACTACTTACACGCAGTTCTTCTAAAGTGTTTACGAACTCGTTGGATGAATAGGTTGAAATTACACCAAGATCAGAATGTATTTCATTTAAGCAGTGGTCAATATTATCAGTAGATGACGTAAACTCATCATAAGACTGTAGAAGTGGTTTCAATACCGCCTGCGCTCTATGAATCGCTGTCTGAACACGTTGTTTCATGCCCAACAACGATACATTTGCGTCATAGCTTTCTCCCACCAAATGATCAAACATAGATGAACGCCAATTTACAACCCAAAAAGCCATAGTATGTCTACAAAAAAAGGAATACCGCAGAAGAATAACCATAATTATGTAAATGAATATACAGATACAGGTAAATTTAACACTTGTAAGAATGTAAAATCAGAAATTAAGATTCTACAGTCAAATAATTTTATGGAAACTTATTTAAAGTTACCAACCATAAGTGATTAATCAGGTACTCCATTACTATGTACTGGATCAGAGTACTTATTTGCCATTCAAAACCATATGTTTTCCACAGGATCGAAAGTTCCTACACGATATACATTGAGTTAAATGAAACGAAAACAAAAATAATGAGTGAACACAATTTATCCTCCAAAAACAGGAGGATAGAATCAACGTATCAGTTCACTGCTGTCATAGTTGATATCAATAAGATGGGTGATAAATATTAATAGAAATTAATGAAAAGTTTGGGTTCATATTAAATGGAATTTTAAGAAAAATTAAGAGAATGTATCTAAATAACTGTAGCCGATGCAGGAATATATCACTAAAGGTCTTCAAGCATAAACTATAGTTACCTCAGAGATAGCACCAGGAAGGTATGCAACATCAAGATCAACCGACTACATGAACAAGTTACAAATTTTGATCTGACCAATTTAAATATTTTCAAAACTAGTCTTCACATTTGGAAGCACAGCACACATAGGTGGACTATGGTTAGATACATTTTACAAATATATACTTACCTAGATGATAAGTTTACAACTTAATCAACTACTTAACCGTTTATACTTGGAAAATTTTATATAATTAATTAAATTAACTCAAACGGAACAGACTAATGTGAAGTATATTTACCTTTTAATAACCAGAAGGATAATCAGTTAGATCTACTTGTAGTTTCAACTGACAAAAGTTCAAGGGAATCACGCTTGAAACTGAAGATTCAAATAATCATCAGTTCACTTAGTAATTATGAGTTGTGGATTACTTATTTACAGTCGAAGATTCGAAGACGATTTCCTATTGAGTTTAATGACCGTTTGCCAAGCGATAATAAGCACCATACATATATGTTTTAGAATAAATTGTTCCTGAAAAAATGTTACGTAATGTATACTATGAGATCTATACACATAACATGTAGTTTTGATGTTATGCTTCTCCTAAAGAATGTGCTTTTTACCTTATGCCAGAAATTAAACTTTATTTTAAGGTTTTACATGCGAAATATTACTTTAAAAACATAATATTTAGGGTCAGATACATTCAACAAACGGGTCTGATCATATGACATAAAGGTATATTTTACTGAAAAGTGATGGTCAAGAAAAATAGCGCATATGTAATTAAGACAATCTAAAAACGAGAAACCTTTGATATGTATTTAAGAATCTGTCAAAAACCGGGCCTCAAAACAGCCATAAGACCAAATCAATGAGAAAAAGTTATTTGAAAACAAAATACGCAAATGAAAATGAAAATGAAGAGGACCGAAAACGACTAGGTAAGAGAATGTTTTAAGATGTTAAACCAGACAGAAATTGATTTTATGAATTTTCTCTTACCTATGTGAAATCACACACTTAATATACAGAAGTACACAAGCCATGAATGCGTTTACGCTAATAATTATTCATTTTCAACCATCCAAAAAAATATACATGCTATGTAATGAAAATCGATAAATCATTCCAAACAGTAGTGACTAACCGACCAGAATGACTTAATAATCTATAGACATCAATTTAGTGACTTAGTGTTATGAAGGAACAATGGATTGATAAAATATCCGACAATTTGACTGAAGTGGTTAAATAGATAATCAGCTCAAACGAACAAGTTTTAAATCTTTGTAAGCATAAGATAGAATCATTGGTCAATTAACTAAATATTAAAAAAAATAATATAACAAAATTTTGAACATCAATGATATCCTGGATTCTAAAACTACATATAAAAAGAAATGCTTTAACATATAACACTAGGAGGAACTAGATTGAAGCACACAGAGACCTATTAGGAATTGATTTTAGTTATCCAAAACTGAAAATAATCAATACTCCCCACAATGTATGTGCATCTTACCTTGCCTTAAGAGCTAATAACCAATCACCAAATGTATTTAAAGCGATTGATAATGAAGTTTGTGATTGTGTCTTATAGTCTGCTTCCTCAGGTCGAAAAGAATCCAATAACTTATCCATAGTATAAGTCCACTGAGTAAGACGTTTACCATAATGCTATATAAATAAACAGGAAATAAAACTTTTATGTATAAAATTAACATAATATCGAAAACAACGACATAATTGTTGGACATCATTTAAGAGTGTTGAGCTAAAGTAATTTGCGAAATTGATACAACGATATATTTACTCCGATCAAATACTGGACACACATTGAGTCATCTTATATGTAGTTCAGTTGATTAACAAAGAAAACAGTGATAAGACATTTTGAGTATTTTTCGTAGTCATAGACACTAAACAATGACAGGTGAATCGAAGCTACGAAGACAGCAAAAATAAGAATAAAAAAGAAAGAAAGGAATGCATTGTTTCATATAACCTATCTATTACTAAATGAACTGAACTTATCCAAAAAAAAACGCAAATAGGGTATAAATAAACTCTAAATTTGTTTACAATAACGACTGGTAGTGAATGTAAAATTACAGGAAAACAAAAGGTACTAATTTTCTATAATAGTTCAGATGAGGTCAAAAAGGATTACAGGAAAAAATAGCAATCCTTGAAATGAGGGATTTTAACACGGCATGAAGGGTATTATAATTTATGCCAAAAAATAACGACAAAAATACCTCAGGAAGAATAGAACATATTTTCAGTGTTCTTGCCTTTAAGAATAGTTAAGAAATCTGTTTTTAGTCAATTTATGTAAATAAACTCCATTTGTGTACTAGGTGGTGAGCCGTATATTAGGTACGAGGGCTAGTGATACTACATGAAGATTAAAATAGAAGTGAATGGAGCATGGTTCAAATCCGGACAAACGCTTTATCCTTTGGTAATCTACAGGTGCATGATAAAACAGATGAGGATAGTAGTATCTTCTAGAAGTTTTATTTATTCACCATTTATACAGTCACAGTGCACATAGGTTTATAGACTAATCGTATATATACAGCCGACATATATTAATGGTGTTAGCGGGACATAGACTAGATTAAAGCATGCTCAATGCATGATTGCTTTGGTGCACGCTGATTGACTGATTCTTATCCAATCAGCACTAGTCGATAGTCGGAGAATACTCTGGAATCTTCTTATGTAAAAACTATAAACATACCGACGTTTTCCCCTATTGTCCTTCCTACTGGCTTCTGACTTGCTATTTGGAATATAATCTTTTTCCTGTTCAACCGTGTTCTGATTTGGGGACTTGTCGAGTGAATCGGTGTCCGAGAATACTAAGCAATAGGAATAGCTGGGTCATTAACCGTAAGAAGAAACAGAGTTATAACAGTGGCGACGGGGAAAAACTAAAGAAAAATGGCGATTTCTTTAGAACAGTTGCGGTTAATATTACAGCACCAGCAGAAGTTGTTAGCCTTGCAACAACAACTATTGAGCACACTTTTCACTCGACCAGAAAATAAGAAATCTGTTTATGATGCAGTAACAGACATTTCAGAAGCATATCTAGTGGAGGGTTCCAATCCCTTTATACCTGAATCAGAACGTAATATTTGTAACGTTTCCGGCTCACAGCAAGAAAATCCTGTGCTGAATGCTCATAAAGTTGTGGCAATACGAGATTATCAAGAGCCAGACCCTGTAGATGAAGCCCGGAGTCCAGAATTGAATGAAGCACTACTGGTCCTGTCTAGCCCTGAAAATAACTTTCAGCTAGAACAAATTTATGGTCCACGTGATATTAGCCAAGAAAGCTATGGGGACTCGTATTCAGAAAATAACTGCAGTGACACAACGAACCCAATTATACCGAATGTTACTCAAAATCATTGTGAGACAGAAACTTATATTGAATCAGCTTATCCGATTTCTAATGACAATGTATCAGACATGGGTTCTCAGAACAATGCATGTAATTTTGATGAAATTTCTCATAAAAATGAGGAAGATATGTCGGCTGAGTCAAATTATGGTCAAAAGTCTAAATTAATTTTGTTAGATGTTGATTTCCGTAATGATCCATTATCCACTGATGAAATTTCTAATGGAGGTGAAAGTAATGCTTCAGAAGAATTAAACTCTGACCTCAAATCAAAGGTCGTTCATTATCATCTAGTCATTTCTAGTGGATCTGACATTCAATGCAAGAAACATCGTTTAAATAAAGTCCTATTATTTGTAACTTGGAGATATAAGGATCCGACATTGTTTCGCGGAGGAGGAGAATGTTGGAGAATTAAAAGTTATGCATACTTTTTTTTAAAAAAAAAATCAAAACGCCGGGAACAGACATGCCAGTCTCTGTGCAAGAAAAAAAGTGATAATTCTTTATTGCCTAGACGATGAACTAATCGGAAGCACAAGCCAGTCACTCGGTTGCAGTTGGACCCTAGCACCAGATCCTACGAATCTGCTCAGAGGGGAGGTGTTAGCGGGACATAGACTAGATTAAAGCATGCTCAATGCATGATTGCTTTGGTGCACGCTGATTGACTGATTCTTATCCAATCAGCACTAGTCGATAGTCGGAGAATACTCTGGAATCTTCTTATGTAAAAACTATAAACATACCGACGTTTTCCCCTATTGTCCTTCCTACTGGCTTCTGACTTGCTATTTGGAATATAATCTTTTTCCTGTTCAACCGTGTTCTGATTTGGGGACTTGTCGAGTGAATCGGTGTCCGAGAATACTAAGCAATAGGAATAGCTGGGTCATTAATCGTAAGAAGCGAGAGTTATAACAAATGGATAATAACAAAATAAAGCAGTAATTAAAACATAAAGTGATACCGTGAGATAACTTTTATCAATATCCAGTTGTCGACGCTCGTCCTCCAATTTTTGTGAGCATGGATTTTCATTAACTTGCAAATCCGAATCCAAAAGTCCAGTCACAGATTTTTCTTCTAAACGTAATAATAGTTTAATAAGTGGAAACGCGTCCCGACGTATTGACGTTAAAAGAGGGAGAATATCAGCTTCCTTTACCAACGAACTATCGGGCAAATCCATGACTGAAAATGATGAATAATAAGTGTTTTACAAGCTAGTCTTTTTCACAAAAAAAGGAATGAGAGCATGTGATGGTTAAAATTGCCGGTGATCACACAGCAACCACAGATGTACTACTAGCCGATATTATTCTCCATGTTAAGTGAATCACAAATGAAATCTCATAGAACAGGTTCCTTTGACCTTTCGAAATCATAAACTCAGTATAACGCAAACGAGTTGTCCTTCTGTTCAAAAGGCAAGTACATCTTACAGTAGTTCATTTAATTTTTTTCACCTTACTTAAAGGACTAAAATATTTTATTTGAAGGTATCGAATTCGTGTAAATTACAAGAATGCTATCACAGATGTCTAATGATTAATGCTCACGTAAGAGTAATTCTGATGTGAGATACAGTTTTCAGAATATGTAATGAATCAGTTGACAAAACGATTAACATAAAAAGCAATTGAAATAAATAAGATTTGTCATATGTCTAATTATCATCTAAGGGCTGAACCACAAAATTAGTAACAATTTTAGTAAATAAATTTATTGTACATTTCTCATTTAGGTCTCGAAAACTATATGATTCTATTCCTTTTCATTCATGTTTGACTGCTGATGATATTCTTTTGTGCTGGGATTTCAAGCTGATAAATATCTGCACAATATATCAAAAATAAGTGAGCATCTCGATATTTAGTGGCTTTTCACACTACATATTAACCTTCTGTGTTATTGGAAACTACAGAATGAGTAATTGAATTTCAATGATCTGACTGAATTAGTTGTAAAGACACATTATAACAAAGGTTGAATTTTGTTCATTTATCAAACACATTACATGAAAACATACCAGAAGCAGCTCCTAATTTAGTACGTTTATTGTTGCCCCGAATGTAACGATATGCTTCGTTCTGTAAAAATATCGAAAACTTTATTACAAAAACCCTATAATCACATATATTTATAAAACTCTTTTAAAAGTAGTAGACTATATAATTTTAGAAAATCATTTAATGTCTATACAGCTTACTGTCAGATAATCATCCAAGATGAAAACATAGTGATACCAAAGGTTTAAGAGGTAATTGTAGGATGTTGTACATAACTAAACCATTTCGATGATAACAGCTATCGTTAACTAGTATATTTGTGTTTAAATAGACATATATATATATATATATATATATATATATATATATATATATATATATATATATATATATATATATATTGAGAATCGAATATTAAGAGAAATAAACATGATGAAACGAAAGTATATTTGTCCTAAACACAATATGAAAGATTTAAACTTACATGTCAATGACAGCTCTTAAAAAACAATTCATTACACTTGAAGAGAAACTAAATACTACAGTAGATTTTACACATTTTATCATTAAGATCAAGACACTTTAGAAGCTGTGGTGGATGCCAGTTAAAACTGTTTCATTGAGTATTATTTACTTTGTAGATAATAAGAAATGAATCATAACTACAGTGAAAACCCATCAACATTTAACAAAAAAAACAACTTATTATTGACAATATTAAAGAAATTTAAATAGCCACTACCAAGAGAAACAAATATTTTGTTACAAGTAATCAGTTTCGCAGATCACGGAACTTTGTCCTTAAGCTTTCAACTATGATATAAAATTATCCTACAGAAAATAAAAACTATTGCAAACTCAAAATGACCTTTCCGACAGATCAACTAAAATGACCAACTCAACTATCTTCGAACACAACGTCATGTAGGCAATTATATGTAATCTTTATTCATAAGCTAAAAAGTATGACGACAAACATCACTTTGATAACATGGACCAAATTATTTCTAATTACCTTCAGTACGAAAATTTATGGTGTGATAACCTAATTATAACATCTTCAAGTCATCTGTGTTGATTTACTAACGCGTAATTAAAATAGATAAAAATTTGAAGAAAGGGATGCAAAAACTGCACGTTAAGTTAATAAACTAACATTATTTACTATTGTATCAGGATGTGCAGGTGTATGCAATTCAAGAAAATCAATATTAGCACAAGACGAATCGCACTTCTGTACCTCAATAGTTTGTTCCCAGGATTTCACTGATTCTGGAGAATAAGAATTATTTTGACTGACAGATAAATTGTTTATTAGTATGGAAATTTCTGAATGATGTGAGGGATGTGAAAAGACCTGGAATTTCAATAAAAAATGCAGATAAAGTTGTGTCGAAGAATAAGAATGATACATTTGTGGAAAGTGAAACTATTTAAGGACAATAATATTCTTTCTGAATCAAGCTACCTCCCAACTTTAGAATACAGAATTGGTGCTAGATATTTGAAGTAAAACGACAAGAAATGTAATATTCTGTCGTGCGTAGTAGGACTAATCAAGGATAATTATCAACGACAATGCTCATTCTCTGTAGATTCGTAACTGTGACACTAGAGATGCTATTAATCGCTGTTAATTGCTACTGACTAAGTAAATTTTCAGAAAAAAAACAAGCACAAGTCAGAGGTTTTCAGGCTACAGCATAATGCTTTTTCCACTGTTCTTGTATTAATATAATGAGCCGACAGTTTTGACTACAAATATTTTGTAGTCTCGGGTCCTAAGAAACACTTAAAAAGAGCGAATAACTAATAATCGAATATCTTAGGGTACGACAGACGATATGTGAGTCGGTTGACGGTTGAGAACAAGCCAGTAGACAAGTGGTAAGTGATAAGCTGGTTCAATTATCACTCAATCGACATATAAATATTACAATGAAAAGTGGTAAACCTACCTCTGCGTGAGGTTTTTGTTGTGAGTTAACAATTTGACTGAGATGCTGAACGTGGGATTCAGTTAACTGAAAACGAGGAGAAACTAAAGCCTCAGCAGCAAGGGTAAGTGGCGAGCAGGGAAGAATAGATCCATTCAATGTGTCGGCTGATTCATTACTTGGCAACAGTGATGGGGAATCAGACTTTGCAACTTTAACGGGAAATAAGAACTAGTTACTAATTATCAATAAAGTGACAAATTTTGAATGATACAAAATGATGGGGTATGTAGTAAAAATTTGTCCTAGGAAGAGATAAACATAGGTCAATTGGAGAGCTTAACCATGAACTCCCAATATCATGTGAACCCTAAATAAAAACTTGATAAATTTTCATCATCAATAACTTCGAAGATTGAGTAAACTTGTTATGCGTGAATTCTACACTTTAACAATGTACGTTGGGATAGTATGAGATCTAGCAATCATTGAACGAATTTTAATTGCTTCACTATACAACTCAAAACGGTCAAGTGCTTCATCTAAGCGGATACCAGAAGTTAGACATCTTTATGTTCTGGGTTTTTATTTTGTTTAATATTTATTCAGAAACAAGTACTTTAAACACATTATTCATAAATGAAAGAGGGATTATTTATACAATTCATTTTAGATATGAAGGTGACAATGAACCAAAATCATGGTAAATAAGTTTTTTAGATCAAATAACTGCGGAACTTGATAAGTATAGTACTTACTTACGTTTATTACCCCTCGTGGAGGGGCATAGGCCGTCTACTAGCATTTTCCATCGGTAAGTATAGTAGTCAGTTTAAAATTAGATATTTGAAATGTAAACTTCAACTGGCAATTTAATGAGTTTACCAACAGAAAATCATTGGTTACCTACACGATTTTTTAACTACAAGAGAATGTGATTGTAGTTTATTTGATCGAGGCTCATTCTGTCTGAAAGAACAGTGTTATATAGTTCGTGTAAACTATTTCCAGAAAAAAAAGAGAAAATTTAGTATCTTCACAAGGCAAAGAATATGTTAGAAATGCTATGAAATAAATATTTCATGAAAGTAACACTTGAAGCGCAAACTCTAAATAGCTACAGATAACTCCAAGATGAAGTTTGAAAGGCGGAATTAAATTAGTTAGAAACAGTTAATTCAAAGTATAAAAGTTAAGCGAGTAATTTAGTATAAAACTTAATAACTGGAAAAATGAACAAGAAGAGAGTGGTACGTTACCTTCCATGGTCAACATTTTACCAATATTAGTTTCGTGGTTTTCGGGAAAACAGGCAGTAAACTAACATAATCCAAATTTAATAGTCGAATGTTAAAATAAGAAAAAAACATGATTTTGGTAACCTCAAATACTGCTGCTTAAACAATCGAAACAAATGACAGTTGTGATTTTAAAAATAAAAGTTATCGTTATCAAGACTTTAAATTGGTTTACTTCCATCGAAACATTACTCTAGGGGCTTAATTCTCAGATTACTAGCAAAAAATAGACACGTACAGAAAAAGATACGGAAGCTCTTTTACAAATAGTAAACTTACTTTGTAAATCACCCAAATCATCCCATTCCAGTCCATCAGCATTATTATCGTCTCTATGAATGGTAGAGAGTTTTTCATCGAAATGAACATGGATACCATACACAAGACCATGCTCCTTATGAACATGATTAAAGTTCTTTGATATTTCAACATGTTCAGAATTATTATTACTATTGTTACTATGATTATCGTTTGAATTATCCGGAGGAATAATTATTGATAAAAGATCAGGGGATTGTTGAGAATTGGAACGATATAGATTTGACTTGAATTCGGTAGTTGGTAATAACTCTGAGCAGGTAGTGCCATTCAAATTATAATTTGCTGTTTCACGTAGATCAACAGTATTTGGATTTGAATGGTGATCTATACGGGGTAACAAAGACGAAAATGAATTTCTTCGTAACTTTCTATAACTGTATTGTTTAGGACTAGTTAAAGTGCCAGGGGAAGAAAAACCATATGTTGCTATGAATTGGAGACGTTGATGATCCTTTGAGGAAAAAATACCAATGGGCATCTTAAATATATCTTCTCCACTCCAAGAAGTAAGCCGAATTCGATTTGCAGAAGAGCTATTGAAAGGAAAGAAAGAAGATAGAAAAGTAGGGATGGTAAAATCAGAACAAAATACACTACACACAAAACAGTTAATTGATGCAGAACCTGATAGCAGTTCTTAAAAGCCATATTTTATGTATGAGACTTAGTGAATATAAAAAACTTCTAAACCAATAAATGGAGTCAAGTGTGTACAAAAACCAAGTTAACTCATACACAACATGATTTTTCAAAAGAGCTCACATGCAGATTTTAGTGGAATCAAACAAACTTAAGGTTATCAAGGATACGCAAAAATGTTTTTTAACACAATGCATTCGACGAACTATGTACAGACTATGAAAAAACTAAATGACTACATAGTAAGGTAAACGGATATTCAGCCAATGTAACACCTAATATTCAACCAGAATTTGGTGCGAACAATTTGTAAGATATTGTTGCGAATTCGATAGCTTCTCAACTGAATCATTTTGAAGGTTCTACACCCTGAGATTTATCACCTATTTAGAAAAAATGTACGAAAACAGAATACAAACCGTAGATTAAAACAAAAGACCTAATATCAAATTAACTCTGGTTTGGCCATACACTGGTGCGTCTCATTGGATGGTTCAATACTATTCCTTTCATAACACCATACAAAACATTGACATACAACTTCTAAGATCGCGTTTATTGAGAAATAATCAGACATCATACCGGGTTTACATGTCACAATTTCTGTATAAAAGATAATAATTCACATAAAGAACAAAACAGTATCATCTACGAACAACTTCATACAGTCTGATAGATAAATCAGAGTGATGAATCGAAAATACCCCTTTCTACTATAGACACAAGAAGTATTACAATTGACAAAAAATTATTCAACGAAATCGTTATCTGATTAAGCAAAGATGACAAGATTAATTCAAAGATCTTAGTGATGTAATATATCGAACATTGCTTAAATATCAATAGAAAAAAATCGATGATAAATAAACTCACATAAAAATTAATAAACAAAATTAAAGTTTCAAATAAAATAATTTCCAAGTTGCATTCAATTTCTCAAAATAAATGGAAACAAACAGCTGTTCAGATAAATGGAAAATATGTAAACACAAAAATAATCTATGTAGAATAAATAGTCCTACATGTCAAGGTTAGATACAATTGTATGTGATCGCGTGGGTGCTAGCTATTTGATTAGACAATTTTATATAAGCTGGATAAAGCTTAATCCATATAAACATAAATAAATCCATAAATGAGAAACATGAAAAGGAAGGCTATGAATATATATAAATATAACTAATCACTTTAAACTAAAACTGATCTAAACAGATTTAATTACATATCATTATTAATTGCGGTAAAAAAGTGGATTTGCTAATCAGGAACGAAAACAAAGAAAATTTAACTGCTTAACAAACTTAGCCGATGCTTAATAATGACAGTTTGATTATAGTTCAAAATAAAACCGTCCATTTCCAGTTGTTTGAGTAATGGATGTTAGTTATAATGAAACTCATTTACCAAGTACAAGTTTATTTACTTTCCAGACAGACACCAAGTGCAAAGACAAATAATACTCCCAACACTCCAAACCGAAGGACATGGAACGAAGTTCGAACCGGGTAATTTAGTCAGTAATTCAGGAGTTGTGTTAGAGTAATTTATCAATATTGTGGTTTACAGAACTAGGCACCATGCAGGCTCTCTAAGACCTGGATGGCACAGCTTCAGCTTGTGGCGCGACCACGTAGATATCAAGATCCTTGGTGACCCACAGTAACAAAAACATTTTACTTAATCTCAGGTAAACTTAAATCTCATAAATGTTTGCTTGCATTGTATTGTAACACTACTGTTGGATAGTGTGATAGTCAACATAAAAAATAATTCGACTGAGAAATAGTAAGGAGAGGTAAATCATGACTTCGGAAAAAACAACTACAATACAGAGAGGTACACTTTGGAAGAGAAATGCGCAATCGTTTTTTGAAATATTGAATTCCAAACAATCAAATTAACTGTAGCTTACATCGCAAATTGATGTTATTTAAATAATCATTGAGAATCAACGAACACTAGACAGTTATTTCATTCTCGCATGAGACTTCTTGGCGACGCGCACGTACAACAACTGGGGTCGAACCAATGACCTTTAAGCTTCAGGGAGAGTAAGTTGCATACTAAAGCGAAAAAGTCAACCAATACTTCCAGACGACTGTTTGGTTAAAGCCAGTCCACGAAGTTACTTATAAGTTGAGCAACATAGGCTGTATTATATATTCATTATCCTCTAATTACTTATTATACAGCTAGTAATACAGTATTCCAGGTTAAAAGTACTTTTACTAGGCTTTAAAAAAGAAAAAATCGCAAAAACCTTTTTGTTAAATCAAACAGGCATGTCCAGCTAACTGGTTATATCAACCTGATACATGGCGTCTATGAGAAGACTAATTACAAGAACATCAATAGTAAAACTACTACATAACATTAGAAAATTGCACCATGACAATGAATCGCTGAGATTCAATGGTAAAAAATTACACATTCTTCAACATATAAAAACTAATTTTCTTTCTTAATCACCCTCAACATGGCTAATAATTTGTGGACCAGATAAATGTACATTTTATTGTGACGGAATAAACACTGATAAAATTTTTAACTAACCATTTGCGTTTCAATCCAGAATCACTTGAATGAAAACGTGAATAAAGAGAACCCAAATAATGATGATCTACTACATGCATGCTCAGGTTATCATGGTTAAAATCTTCTAAGGAATTTGTTTGTTCGAAACAAATATCAAACGGACATTTGGACTGTTTTGCAGAGTATTTATATTTATTAGCCTTGTCATTATCATTATCGTCACTCTTCCCATTAGGCTCCATAGAAGAACTGACCAATTTAGTTGGCGTACGATTATAAATTTCATGGAATAAACCAGAAGGTGTATCACTGATTGCCTCTGAATCATTTGAATCTGAGAATAACGAAAATCTTTTGAGCGATATATATGATTATAAAAACGAAAACATCTACTACAGTGTAAGTAAAATGATTGAGTACCAAATTAAATGAAACTGACGTAAAGTGACCGAGTATTTTGAAAAAGCTATTGTTTATTATCATTATTATTGATGACTTTATTCAATATTATATGTTTAGAACAATATAAAGTAGGTGACACGCTTTATTTACTAATGAACTGCCTACATGACATTATCCAATGTGGGTTAAATGCGACTAAAAACCTCAAAGCTAGCTAATGACTAAAAACCACATGAAAACTTTAGGAGCATAAACTACACCAGATTTCACGAACTGCGTACGAGACATTTTTCATACCAGAATAACCAGGAAAATCATGACAAGATTCTTTGGATAATTTTAAGTAACTATAGATAACATCGAAAACTAACGACTGCTTACAAAACATTTTCCAATAAATTTCAGTCGTCATACCAGGATTGATATCTTTGAACATAGTTAAGTATGTTCATTTAATATACTGTGTTTACGTGAACATAACTTCCTAAAAACCCATGAAAGTTTGCAGCGCTGTTTAGATTAGATAATACAATTTTAAATAAAGTTTTACATCTGTCGAGCAAAGCATAGAAATAGACCTTAAATCCAAGACTGAAAATTATGTCGAAGTGGAGTTTTAGAACTGTATCAACTGGAGTATTACTGACTACAAAACAGAAACCCAGAGAATTTTTATTGAATGACTGTCCTCATCTAATAATATGTCAAGAAATAAGCTGTTTTAGTTGAAATCCCTTCTTTATATCCATCAAGTCGTAAGAGTTACCTCAATCCATATTACCGTAATTAAGTAATCATTATCTAAATTTAATTTTCTCCAGATAATGTACTATTTGTTTAATGACTATAGACATACAAACCAGTCTTTTCAAAATATTTGATCAATTCGTTTTTATTTCACTTTATTTTTGCATTCAATCGCTTTTCCTACATATATATACTCATTTTTATCATTATAATCACAAAAATGTGAAATCTATAAAAGAGTATTTTCAGCCCGAAATTTCGTGTATCCTTCTATAACAGTATTATTGACATAAATTATTAATCAAGTATAAATTGTGTGCTCGATTTCTAGTCGCAAACTTTGTAAAAAAAAGCTAATATGACTGTTACCCAGGGTTCAAATAAATAGAACGGATTTAAAAAATGCAACTAGGAAGTTAAAAGTCGAATGACCACAAAACCACCTCTTCTTACGACAAAAATTGCAAATATACCTAGAACAAAGTAATACAAAAAGAGAGTCCAGATCACCAGTCAGAAGCTAGAACGAATTACTGGTCAAAATGAGTGTGACGGACAATTATTGATTACGTAAGTGATGAAAGTTATTAGTTGCGCAATCTCAGGTTGATCTATAGACTTTTCAGTGTATCAAAATTAGCTAACTGGACTTAATTATTTTAAATAACGTGGCTGTTTAAAATGAATTAACTCCGGGCCTATACCTAATCTGCAAAACTTAATGGATGACGACGACTTTAACATGAATGCAGATATCAACTGTTGATAGGTAGAAACTATGTCTAATCATCTAGGTTGTTAATAACTTACTTCACACCCTATACTTCGAACTTAAAAACCTAATTACCTGTATTGGAAGTCCATAAACAGTCCGAGGATTGAGAAAGAATATTATCATTTACAGAAGAAAAGGATTTTCTATTTTCGGACTTTGTAGTCAATAAATCAGAAATAACAAAATTAGAATTAGATAAACCTAATTGATCTGCTGCTTGACAAGTTAGGAATTGGTCAGCATCACTCGCAAATCCTGATTCTGAACAACACAGTGAATATACACTGGAAGTCGAATAATCGATCCGATTGTTCACATCAAAATTCAGCTGGCATCAATGTTTGAAACCATGAAATTTAACAAAAGAAAAACAAGCAATGATTCATCTTATGAAGTTGATGCAAATCGTTACTGTCAGCCAAAATCAATAAAAATAAAGAAAACTAATCAGTATACATAAAGGACATCATTTACTGAATACAGCCAGCGTCCTTAGTATTGCAAATAACTAATCAGATAAACAATAAATCACCAGTGGGAGCTTACTTTAACCTTCAATAAACTTAGCTTAGAGGAGCACCCAACTTGAGATGAATGTTTGGTGAATACAATCAAAAAGAGAATGTCACACTAGTCAAAAGAACAATAATAAAAGTAAAGCACTACATTGAATCGAAACGTTAAGCTACGTAATATAATTCAGAAACTCCTCTGACTTAAGATGAACACCAACCATAGGGAAATAAGCAGATTCGTATTTACTTATGGAATACTTCCAAAGTGTAACAAAATGACTCATTTATTATTCTAGATGTAAAACAATTGATAACAATGTCACGTATGTTGTTGATCTACAATAACTGAATATGTACTTTTTCATGTGACAAAGCATAGAACATTTCTTTCAGCTCATCAAAAAGTAAAATTCTTTCATTGTAAAGTTGCCTACAAAGTGACTTGTGCAAATCTAGTTTCTAAACACTCAACGAGTCCTATTTTCGTTATACCGATGAAATCCTCTAAAAATTGCAGTTCATTAACCTTTAATAAACCTCTTCTAACAGCTAATTTCTGAATAAAAACAACTATCGAGTGTTCTTTTTAATTTGTAGACAGGAGAAAGGAAACCACTGTATTTAAAAATATATGCTCGTGAGGAAACTACTGAATATGCAGGAAATACAGCGATTAGTGAGACAGTATCGTTAAGTTTAGTAACTTTAAATGCATTAATTCTCAACTGAATCAGAAAATTGAAATCTAAATTAAACTAATTTGCTTCAGTAACGATGTATATGTTTATGTTTGGCTTTGACATTGCATTTAAATGAAAGAGCAGATGATACTATCTGGTCCCCAAAACGGAGTGGATAGAATAGGGTTTAAATATAAGACCCAAGTTTGTTAACCATCATATAAGCATGTTAATAAAGTAAATAAGTATATATTAAACACTCGTCGACTTAAGATACTCAATGTCTGTTGGCCGAATACCATCAGCAACAACCTACTCTGGCAGGGAATAAACCAACTTCCAGATGAAGAGCAAAAATAGGGAAAGACGCGGGAGGTAGACAGGACATTGTAGTATTTGTATGAACTAATGGTTCTTTTGTACCTGATTGCCCACTGATTCTAAATTCCAAATATAATACGTTCATTTGTGCTTATCTAGTTCTACTTGCTGTAAATTGTACTATCTCGTGAATTTCAAGTTAGTACAATAATTCGAATATTTCTAATATTTCGAATATTTACATTGGCGTCGCGATGGAGCCTGTGATTGAACAGTTGGATATACATTCAAATTCGGAAGCTTTCAAAGATTACATGAACAGGTTTGAAATCTAGAGTATGACAAGGAAAGAAGTTAAGGATGATGAAATGGTGGCCCATTTCCTTACATTCATCAGAAAGGATGCTCTTATTAAACAATTTGGTATTTTCAGATAAGCTTAATTCACTTCCCTATGCAACTTTCAAAGAACTACTAAATCATGTAGAGTACTGTCTTCGAATGCTGTGAAAGAGCAAAATTTCATAAAATGATTCGCCACGACAACCAAAAGGCTAGAGAATATATCCTTAAATTGCAGTGTAATTTTGGTGATCAAGTTCATGTGAAGCTGTGTGACTGGTTGATTGTAGTAATTAACATACCAAATGTGTAAAAAAAGCTTATACAAATGCCGAGATGTTCCTCTCAAGATGCTAGAACTGTGTGTAGTAATTATGAGGCAGTGCATGAAATTTACTTCCAGGACATCAAGAATTTTACTACGTAACCTAGTTATCCTAATCCGATGCGTACTTAAGGTCACACAGGTAGGCGTTTAATTGACGATAATCCTCGTTTTCGTGAAAACATGAATGACAATTCATTCAGGAATGGCAAAGCAAGTTATTGAGGTGAGCACAAGTTTGGTAAATTTCACTCACGTAAGTCATATGTCTTTCATTATGCTAAATGCTTTAAGTATGGTAAAAGGGGACACATTCAGTCGGTTCGTAAAACTACTGTTCATTTCGTCGCAAGTAATACTAAACTTTGTACTTCATATCCTATTAATTCGAATGGTTCTAATAGTCACATACATATTTATTTATTTTAACACATAGACATTGGTACAAGGAGGCAACCAACTACATATGCGTCACACAAATCTCATTTGATATATGTGAGGGCTGTGAGACTGCCCGGGTGCTCAAACCGAAGTAGGTGGTTTTCTCAGGGGGCCACACCCGGAGCATTCGACCTGAAGGTCTGATACACAAGGCAGTGGGGCATCATGAGGAGATGCAGTCCCATGGTAGCCGGTGACCAACGATTGGTTCATACGCCATTCGTTCCTTCAGGATACTGGAGACCATGTGCAACATCGGTTTGGAATCAGGGTTTTCCAACTCCCCTAGGTGGACCCTCTATGATTACCAACCCGGTTAAAGCGCCGGACATTCGCTTTTCGTCCTCTCAATTTCGTAAACAATACCCCCGCCACGAGAAGGCAGTGAGTAGGACTTCCCTGGCAGAGGCTATATACGCGTGGCTATGTGGGAGCATTTCGAGAGGGAAAGCGGACTCTCCCCACTCTCGGCCGTACTAGGGCATATAATATCGTTATTTATGACTTCCTGTGATTCATTTCATATCCAAAAACGATTAGATCTATCCAGTGGTGCTTTTCATGATTTAACTGTTGGCACTGGCAGCACCAAGTCCATAATTTCGGTTGGGAATTTGAAGTCATTAAATCCCGATGCCATAATTAAGCCTACAAAAGTTTCTATTTCGAGTATTACAGGTCATAAACTTTCTATTCTTCAGTGCTGCAATTTGCTTATTAGAGACGATAAATCTTTAATCCTAAATTGTGAATTCAGTGAGACTATAATTTATGGACGAACCAATCAGACCTGAGACAACAGGTGTTAGATTTTAGCGCGAACTTTACCTACTCATCTGGCTAAATACTATTTCAGCATTATAGTTTATGTCAGTTCGTGATGAAAATCCTAAATCGAATTCCTAACCCTAGCTATCAACTGTGAACCATAATTATGATTCCTCACACCGCTTTATAACCCTCATTTAGTCCTAGTTAGTAGGTGGACATTTTCAAGGTCATCTTAGCGTTGCTCAAAGGTCGTCCATAAATTATAGGCTCACTGAGAATTCTTCATTACTGACTGCAAACAATCTATCCTAGGTCAAGAAAATTTAAAAATGCTTCAGGGACAGCTTTCTTTACTAACCAAGGAAGACTATTCTAATGAAGTGCTTGATAACTAGCTAACTACTGAAGTGAAGTGCGAAGAATTGTGCACGACTCCAAATTCCCCTCATTCTCATTTGCAAGCAAGAAATCCCAAAACCTTAAAAAACGTCAATCCTACTACTGCTGCAAAATTCAAAGATCCGAAGAGGAGAGCAGATAAATTCCCTCAGTGCAGAATTACTAGACCGTATGCAAAAGTGATAAAATTCTAAGAAAAGATGGATAGTGGCTAGCAGTGGAATAGGACGAAATGCGCGTCCTGGATTTCACTGCTAGCTACTATGCATCTTTGCTTATAATGCTTGTGACTTAAGGTAATATCGAGGCAATCCGCACAGGATGCACGTATGCCAATAAGAGACTGATCAATCGCAGTCCTAAACATCAGTGGGGATATTCAGACAAACAATACAAAATGAATTTAAAGTGGTGAAACTTTCCTAAATTACCCTAAAGGCAGAAGCCTAGTATGTACCAAACCGTAGTTTAACAATAAGTTTAATTTTAACTTCATGTATTGCATTGATTTGTTGTTGTGGATTGTGATTGGTTCGTCTGGGATTACGGTAAAGCTTAATTACGAACAATTTAGATCCACCTAACAAGGATAGAAACTAATGAGAGCACGATAATACGGTAACTGACATATACAATGTCTCAACAGTAATCCCCAAACGATGGAACCCTTGAAGGTAGAAGTGCAGAAAAAGCTTGATATTTAACGAGGGAAAATTGAACTATTTGTGTACAGTAACAGAATATGGCTTCGAGATACAGGAAAATCAGCAAACTAAGGGTGATAACCAATCAGAGAACAGAAAAGGTCGTGTGAAAATATGAATCACAGATGGCATGGAGGCTATCATTACAGAAAAGAAACCAGCACTAACTAACAGAAAAAACTGGATAACTTTTAGTCTTAATGGGCAGGTGGTTGATATGAAGTTACCTTACTCTATTGAAATGCTTTTATCGAATAGTATCGATTAGAGACTTGTTGGCTGACGACGCACAGCCCGAGTGATTAACAAACTTGACTTAGATTTCAATCAGCACGACTTCACAAGCGACCCAACAAGCAATTTTCTAAAGCGAACTAGTAAAGTAAATATTGAGTCAAGTTATCAGCTGTAGTAGCGGACGTTAATACTGTTTGGGTATTTAAACAGCTTATCTGATATGATTACATAGGTCAATCACTAACAATTTAGTGGGTTCGGAACTGAAACTCTACCCGTAGTTTAGGAATTGCAGGACTGAGATATGAATGGTTGCTCACAGAAAAATAGTATTTTCAAGATACCCCAAACACAGATAGCATAACAGATTAGAGAAAATAAAACTTTAATCATACACAATTTTACTGTAAATATTAGGAATTAAAAGTATAGCTAATTATACTGTCCGACTATTCAACTACTGGTAGATTTAATCATGAGGTTTGAACGTTTAACTGGAAGACCCCAAAACAGGTTATTAAGTCGCTGGAACACATCTCCAGAAGAATTATTCTTCTGTCTCTACGGAACCCTAAAATTAGACTAATTCACCAGTGAATCATAATTTACACATATAGACCTAGAGACATAGCTAATCATAAGACTAAAAAAGTTATGTAACAGGATAACAGGTCTGCATGATAATAGTAAAATACACATAACAAACATGTTCTGAGGTCAGTAACATAACGCTGAGTAGTAGATGATGAGGATATACACAATTCACTCTACCGAATGATATGCATAATTTTTGATGATAAATTGTCAAGAATTATACAACAAGCAGAGATAGTTAACTTCTTAAAAGTGTTATTTTACTGAAACCCAAGCCCAATAATCCGACTCCATTGATTAATCTTTTAATTGTATGTAATTCTCGTACTCAATTTGATGAGTGCTAAGAATTTCTTTTCTTTTTAATGGATTGTTATACTAGTCATATTTGCAGCTCTCAGCATCAGCCCATTTCTTAAAAAAGAACGACTGGGTCCCATGATAGTTATAATCATGGCCTGATTATGTAAAAATAACTCCGAAAAGGATCTATAGTTATAAAATAATAAGTTATTTGGATGAAAAGCAAGTGGATTCACTGAGTTTATTATTAGTAGTATGAATGTGAACTAAATACGAAGTCAAGATAACACATATTTTGAAACCGTAAACGTACAACAGATTGCGTACGAAATGATAACTCACATTTTCAAAAGAACTTTGACCTTTAGATAAATACTTCCAGCGTTCAAGTAACTCCAGGTGCATACACCAAAGAGACCAGCCTCTGTAAGTTAACTTGTCGATATTCTCAGTAAGTTTGCAGATAAGCAAATCAAAAGTTTCCCCTCCATATGAAAGCAGATTATTTTCGATACTAAACATATGGAGCTGTGAAAGTAAACAGCTAGCGGCGGACAGCGTTTGCATAGATCTTTTGAGAGAGATATGCTCCGCCTATATAGGTGTGATATATACAACCTTTAGAGATAACCACAATAAACATGGGCAGAATTTATTTGAAAAAAACCCAAACATTTTGATGTTACATCATTCAAATAAGATATAATGATATACCTTAAAAAGTGAGGTATTTGGACACAGAACATACCACACCTAAAAAAGAGAAAGCTCCATGCAGTGGATCACCCATTTCCCTCATGATGATTGGTGGTAAAATTGCTATTGGAGATGGCTTTGTGAATGGAAATAAATTAGAGAGGCCGAAAATACAATCAGATGTGGATTTAGAAGTTAAACAGTTCTGAACCTGCTATTTCTTTTTGTTGTTGAGAAAAGAGTGCCTAGTACTCTTCTAAGACTGCACGTGACTGAAATAGGCTTCTTCACACGGAACTACAGGAGAATTATCATTTCAGAAACCACTGCTGAACATTGCGGTACTCAGTACTTGACATATGGTGATTTGATATAAATAAATGTGTACAAACTAAAGCTTTCAAATGCAGTAGAATCGATCTATGAAACCCCTGAAAAGTATTAAAGGCGGGTCGCAAATCCAAAACCTGATCCTTCAACACAATGAGTGAGCAGATTTTCTTTCTCGTTCTTAAACTCAATGAGAAACAAAAAAAATTATACTAGTAGCAGTACTTAGCTGCTGTAATAGTTAGCCGTTGACGGTTTGAGACACATTGTGTCAGTGCTTTATTAAAACTAAAATTGGGAGGTATGAAAAAATAAATAATCCCTAACTAAGAAATGAGACATTTCTATGTGGTATTTCCAGAATAATAAACCTCTCTCTGAGGCTAAAACGCTTAATAAAACCTTCATTTTCGTACTTTTATTGTGCTTCAATTTTCCAATCAACTATGACTGACTGTCACATATCTCAAACGTAATCCACGTAATCACGTGGTATAATTGACACTGAAGAAAAAAGATAAAATCTTACACTCAAATCTATCTGCATTTATTTATTATTTAGTTTATTTGAACACAAATACTGGTAAAAGGAGGCACCAGATACATATGCGCCACACAAATCAATTGAAATTTGTGTGAGGGTTGTGATCTGCGCGAGTGCTCAAACCGAAGTAGGTGGTTTTCTTATAGGGCTACACCCGGAGCCTTCGAACTGAAGGTCTAATCCACAGGGTAGTGGAGCATCGTGAGGAGATGCAGTCCCATGGTAGCCGGTGACCGAAAATCGGTTCATACTCCATTTGTTCCCTCAGGGTACAGGAGCCCATGTGCACCATCAGTTAGGAACCAGGGTTTTCCAACTCCCTTAGGTGGACTCTCCGTGTCCACCATCTATCTGCAGTCACTAAATTTACAATTATTTATGTAGTGTGGCTTCTTAATTGTTGGCAATTGTGAGACAATGTAGTCAGAACTAGGAGTAGTAAGAAACGTAAAATATTTAAGTTAATTAGGCCCGCCAAATTCGTTGGTAGGTTTCAAGAAGACAGGTGTTTATTACTATGAGTCACATTAGTTTATACTAGTCAATATCAATGAGCTCCCTTGATGAACACTGGTTTAAATCTGTATCTAACTAAATGGTGGACTGAAGAAATTTAGTCATTTTTTGAAACAGCATAGACAATACCTCGATTGGTTACCTTGATAAGTAGGATGCTGTTTTACAACTACAAACCCTTTGATCATTAGATGGAAATAATATTTATTGGTGTTTTGGATACTTCAGAATAAAATGTTTATTATATTTGCCCCCTGAGTACATTTAATTAAGCACAAAATATGATCAAATCGCAACCACAAATAAGTATTCGGCAAGGTAATTGGCAAAAACTCACATTTTTTTTTTACCTTGAATAATGTCTAAATCTGGACACGTGAAATGGAGAAACAAGCATACATTGACGTGATCTGATTATATGAAATAATTCAATAATCAGTTTGTCCCAGTTACTTCAATTTTAGACGATTATAGACAAATTATGGATTACATTTTGCCTATATATTTGTAGATCAGTGGAATTTTTGGAATTAGGATAAATAATGGAGGTGTAATGTAATGAACGAAAAAGAGTCTACTAACACAAGCTCATGGACAAAAGAAAACTAACCTCGAGTACACTTATATCTGAATTCAGGTCACATGTTCCTCTGATCGACTTCGTTAGTACGGTCTGTAGGTCAAAAGTTCCTAGTTACAAATTTAAAAAGTAATCAAACTATAGTATGAGCTTGGAAGTACAAGGAGAAAAAGTGGGGAAATGGAACAATCATGCACTGTCCTGAGATGCCACACCTTACATAAACACAAAGAGAAGAAACAACTAAAAACCAACAGTAGCAAGTAACAAGGAAAAAAGCGGGAACGGACAGTCGGATTTACAAAGTAAGATTATAGAAATTTTGAATATAGAAACTAAATACATAAAAGATATGGATTGAGTTATTTTGCTGCATCCTTAGTGAGATGATAATCATTTTATAAAACTAAGTAAAGATATGTACATCTTCCTAGTCTTCAGTAAATAATTTTGTTTTGGTGTGACCACCTTATTTTTTCCAACTTTTTCATGAGTGAGAACCGATGATAATTCCAACTTGGGAAAGAGGATCTTTAAATTTGTGAAATTAAGATTTAAAATGGATAGTGGGGCTTTTAAAGATACTCAAACGACACAGAGGGTTCACCTAGGGGAGTTGGAAAACCTTGATTCCAAAAGAATGGCGTACATGGGCTCCAGTATCCTGAGGGAATGAATGGCGCATGAACCTATTGTTCACCACCGGCTACCATGGGGCTGCATTCCCTGACGTTGCTTTACTACCTTGTGGATCAGACCTTTAGGTCGAAGGCTCTGAGTGCGGCCCCATAAGAAAACCGCCTGGTTGGGTTTGAGCGCCAGGACAGCATCATAGACCACGCACAAATCAAATTAAATGAGAATTGCCACTGAAAATACTATTCTTGCTTTAATTAAAAGTTACATAATTCGCATTCACCTGATATTTTATTTATTTATTTAGTTTAACACAGTGATATTGGTACAAGGAGGCACCAAATACATATGCGCCACACAGATCTCATTCGATATGTGTGAGGGCTGTGATACTGCCCGGATGCCCAAACCGAAGTATTTTTATATACTACGCCATTTATCTACTCACTTCTATTCTCACCTTGTGTATTCTTATTTTACAACTTACATAGCAGCTCGCTAATAGTGAAAACCCTGTCCTACCTAAAAGATTCGTCGAAAGTTGAATGCTATCACCGAATACAATTACTGAAAGTCTTTCTGAAACTAAGTATACCATTCAAAATAGCTTCCTTCAACGTTCACACACTAATGCAGATCTGAAAACAAATAAGGTTGGCTATGTCTTTAGAAAGTTTTAATATCGATGTTTGTTGTCTATCCGTGACCCGTATTTAAGACTCTAGTGAAGTACTACAAATTCGCTTTCCATCTGTTGCCTTGAAAAGCTTGTTTCACGTACGTTTATCCAGGGACCCTATGGCATCTTCGTCTGATCTTGCTGACGTTGATGTCGAATTGAAGGCTAGAGCTGAGACCACTGATTGATTGGATCCCCATCAACAGTCGGTCATGTGTTGTTAAGTCAAAAAGTTCCACCAAAGGGAGAAATCGATGTGGGAAACGATGTCTTTACGTCATCTCCGCCTATGCTTCAACAGATTGCAGCCCGGATGAGATTTGCCATCAATTGGAGTCCTCCCTCTACATCCCAAGCCTGTACTTAGATCGATCACGTCACGATCAGCTACTTCTGGTGTGGTTGTGTACAATACTGCATTGGTTGCAATTTCATGACGCCATGAAAACGGCGAGTAAATTCGCCTGCGTCTTCGTGGAACGTCCCGCTTATAAGCACTGGGTTTCTTCAGGCTCCTTACAACTCATTGAAGCCCGTCGGTCTACTCTGGGTGACCGTGAGTTTGACCACAAACGAAGGCTGTTACGTAATGAAATCGGGCAAAGCTTGCGTAAGGACCGAGAAGCCTGGTGGTCGGAGCGTGCTAATGAGCTGGAAGCAGCAGCTGCATCTGGTAACTACCGGAAGCTCTTAATTCATCCAAGTCACTGACAGCAAGAAGTCTGGTATGAGCGAAACAATCTGCGAAAACGACGGGGTCCCAATCACTAACATCCATCGACGTCTTGGACGATGGGCAGGATTCTTCGAAGGGCAGTTCAACTGGCCTGCTGTTCCGGCAACATCGGTCAGACTGTCCTGCCCTCCATGGCCGGTGACGACTGATCCACCAAATGAGACGGAAGTCCGCAAGGAACTACAACTCTTGAAGCGCTACAAACCACCAGGCCCAGATGACTTACCTCCGGCTATTTTTAAAGATGGTGGTAACTTTCTGGCTAAGAAACTGACTGTGTTGTTTACAAAGGTCTAGGAGCTAGAGAGCGTGCCAACGTCATGGAATGAGTCGACAGTTGTCCTTATCTTTGAAAAGGGTTCACGTCGTTCCTCTAACAACTATCGGGGGATAAGTATACTTCCAATTGCGTCCAAGCTATTGGCTTCCGTCATACTTCGTAGGTTGTTCAAAACCCGAGAAAGATTGACTCGCGAAGAGCAGGCTGGGTTTCATTCTGGTCGAGGATGTATTGGTCATATTTTCACCCTCCACCAAATGTTAGAACACCGTCATACTTATCACAAGCCAGCAATCGTAAAGTTTCTTGACAATAGGGCTGCCTTCGATTCGTTGGACAGGACTGTTCTCTGGGATTATCTATGGAAGAAGGATGTGCCTGAGAAGTTTATTAGCATCTTGAAAGTCCTACATACAAACACCACAGGGAGGGTGAGGACATACAACCACTTCCCTCCATTGTTCCATTCAAGCAGTGATTACTTATCAATTCATTTGAACACATAAATATTGATACAACGGGGCACCAATACATATGCGCCACACAAGTCACTTGATTTGTGAGATTAAACAGGGTGGCCCAAGGCTTTGTTGATTAGGATCGACATAATTTATGCTCCGATCCTGTAAAAGTTTGGTTGGTAAAGTAACTTAAAGGACCAAAGCATTCAACTTCATTAATTTCGCCATAAATAATCAGAAAAAGTTATATTCCATCACAATTTTACACAAGGTGTGAAATACTTATGGAGCAGATAGGCGGAAAACAAAATTTTGTATTTTATCGATTGAGTGAATGAACAAATAACTTTAAAGTAGAATTGGTTTGAAACATAGATAGATGGATGGAGTAGGAGGTGGTGTTCCCAACGGCAAAGCTAAGCAATCAAACCACGTGAGTCGGAGAACATACCACTACCAAAGAATAAACTGCTCGTATATTTATCATATTTGAAAATTTATCAAATAACCAAATAGTGGTAAACTTACTTCTACTGATTGAGCGAAGCTTAGCCTCAGTTTCTTGAACGTCCAGTTCAACATCTATAAATAAAAAGTTACGCTTTAATGAAGTTGAAATCGTCTTTTTACAACATTGGGTTTGCAAATCGTGTAAAATTACGGTCTCTAACCTTTTATTGTACGTGATGGGTCGTGAAATAAGCTCATCGGTTGAACGAGACTTGTAATATCACTCCATATGGTTTCGATTTCTTGAAGTCTACTGGAAATATTGACCTCAAGAAAATCTTCCACTGATTCAGTTGCGGAATCAGAGGTCTTTCCGGACATAACCAAAAGCTGGTTGGCCAGGGAACGTAAACGATTAAGGTCAACGTCTCGATTGTTAATACATCCAAGGTAATTCTGAAAATCAAAAATGACATTGATGTAACTTTCTAACAAAAACTCATATTTCTAATACATACAGCTTTTTTTCCCAGCCTAAATCACCTGTCGTTATAGAAGATGGAGTGCCTGGCGTGACATAATGCCTAATAGCCTTTTCGGTTTATGTAAATTCACAGATATACAGACTGATGTTTTTATTACTATATCCAGGTAGTTCTTTAAAAATACTTACGACCGACTACCTATAATCTAGACGCCCTACACTAAAAAGACAAGACATACAGAAATTATTTAGCATCCAACTTACAAGGCAATAAAGTATGTGCCGATAGTGTTATATTAAAGAAAATGAAGTATCTCCAGAAAAGATTCACACCAATAAGAATGCGAGCGAAAAACGCAAGTTAATAAGGGCGACCATTAAAAGGGCGAATATTAGGAAAGCTAATCATTGAGAGGAAAAATAACATTTTCCTATCATGTGAAATATGTTTGACTTTCTATCTCCTTGCCTTACGATCAATGAAAAACACATATCTCTAAATGAACGATGAAGAGTCTAATCTCAACAGATACTGCAGGTTTCCAAATTTGGTAACAAATTGTTATTATTACCCTAGTCATGCTAATTTCCATGTCCATTTAGAACAGCTAGGATATAATTTATTAAAAAGGATTTTTGCGTGTTGGATTCTCAAGAAATCAGCAGCTTGTTAGACAATCTCAGGTGACGGAAAATGTAAAGGTTATAGAACTAATTAAGACTATACACTTGCAGTGAAAATGTAATATGTAAAATAGATCTGTATCTACTTTTTAGAGAAAATATTTTGCTCAAAATGAAACAACCGTATATAAAGTCGACTAGTTACATTCTAGGTTGTTTTTCATACCTCATTCGAGTGGATTTGGAATACGTGAAGCGCTGTAAAGGCGAAAAACATGCCTTAATTTCAAAATTAAGTTGTAGTCGTAATTCTTTGTTAAATGTTTTCCCAAAAACATTATATTCTGTGCTCACAAGCGAAACAACTAAATTTTATTCTATCGACTGTCGAATTCCGTGATAGCAAGGGTTAAATGATTAAGCTTTGTTTAATATTAATTGGATTAACAAAAGGAACACATAAAGTGGACCCCATGCAATTATTGTTAACATGGAACTACTATGTATATAAGTCAGATTGTCATTTATCCCAGTTGAAATCATACTTAAACTTACGTTTTACAGACAGAAACGTCAAAACATTTTTCCAGATTAGTTAGCTTAAATCAAAAATCCAATTACACTACAATATCTTAGATGATTTTGCCGTAGGGGCGATAGCAGCTTAACAGTGCATTATTTTTCTTATATCACAGGCTTCAATCACCACTGTAAACTACACGATAATGCAACTTTCCAGAAAGCGATTTGTTCATAATTTGGATGATGACCACTGTTTGGTTACAAGTCCATGGTGTAGCTAAGTCATAATCATGAACTAGAGGTTGAAAGACGGAACTCTTAAACTCTTGATTGGTCACATTGGTAAAGATGAATCGACTCCTAAACTTGCCACAACCAAATACCAGAGTAAGAGGGGCAGAAATAGCATTAGTGGCAACAGAAAAGATTAGGAATCGAGAAGATATGGATCAGTGGAGTAAATTTTAAAAAATCGTAAGGTATTTCATCAAATTTGAAGCTAAGGAAAGAAAAATGTGGATGCATCTGAGCAGTCATATTAGGTCTTTAATTATTGGATACCACGGTCACGTGAATCCTAAGCATGTAGTCTGCGCCTACCTGCATGGCTCAGTCGACAATCCGTGTATCCTTGAGCTGACGCAATACCTCGAGTGATAGTACTTCTACTTGGGAGAGAAATTGAACTCCCAACTACCTTTGAGTCATTTTACAGAACATTAAAAGTGAGTTCATGTTTGAACTTTGCGAACATACCTGATTCATATAAGATTCTGAACGACTACCATAGGCCAAACGTCCTTTGAAAGCCATTTTACAAACCCTCTTAAGCCACCTCTCCAATTCTTCAGATAATAAGCAGAATTGTGCGAATAGTTTGGCGTAGGCGTATATTGTCGTGTTTTTTGGTATACGATTGTTATTCGTAAATCTCTAAAACGCATGTTAACAAAAATATAAGTTATCACTTTGTCCATGAGGGAATAGCACTCGTCACGAAGATCAAGAAATGATTGTGTCAACAATAGTGGAACGTTGTTATCCAAAGCCATAGGGATGCTCGAGTGTAGTAGTTCAGCTTAATTTTCAATGAAATAACTCCAACATAGGCATGAATATATGAAATTACCGCAAGCTCCCTAATTGCTGCAGCGAAAATCTAGTTAACCAATAAATCACAACGAACTAGTAAGGGAATTTCCTTGCAGGTAAGATACACATTAACCAGGTCATACCAGACTTTAAAGGCGCGCGTTAAACCAAAGCTCCCAATCTCGCGCTGGATGTACAAAATACACATCAAATCCTGAGGCATTGTCATACAGTTGGTGAGAATTGGAAAGATGCGAAGATTATCTTGGTAGGTAAAGACGTGAAGAACAAGCTAGGCTATGGTTTCTTGTGAATATGTTACATGTCGAGTATTTTGGATGTCTTTATTTATCAGCTGCGAACAGTATTATCGCTGTCACACATCAATTTTCGTAATGTTTGTGCTTCTTACATAGCTTTTATCCCAATTTGTCAGTAGTTTGATCTAGTTGTTCAATCAATGTTAAGTCGGCTGTAATGTGTTTATTTGTATCAACCTGAACCCAAGCAAGTAAAACGAACTATTTATGAAGTCAGAGATAGATTCTAGTTAGATTTGTTCGACAAAAATGAGCTCTGAGGACCCTTAACATTTGATTTGCCATTCTGAGGGATGTTGATGAACAAGGATGTCTAGTAGTTGTTTAGCAATCGCTAAACAACTTGCATTCAAGTGCAAGTTGAGGTGATTCTGAGTTAAACCATTTTTAAATGTTATGTAAGTTTCTGGTGCACGATAGCAAACAATTATCACGATTATAAGTATTATCGTTTGTGATGGAACTGATATATCATTACGTAACGTATTTGGGGGAGAAAAATTATATGAGTAATAAGTGACGTTGATAGCCTATCCATCCCGCTTTCTGAGCGCATACAGCAACTGTACAGAACATTATTGTAGGTATCGCATTAAGTAGTCACATACTCTTCATTAGTAGAACGATGCGTGTTTGTTTTGGACACGGTAACTGAAATAAGTCGTTAGTACTAATTTATGATGTTTCTGTTATATGATCAACGAATGGGTTTCTGTAAACAGAATCTGCAACCACCGACCAAATTATAAACAGAGATCTAATGAGTGCGATTTGTAATATCTAGATTGAGCGCTCCGATGATTTCATATTGTATGTAAATAATGAGTTACTGTCAGAATTATGAACGTCGTAATTGGATTTTACAAACACTTCATTATACTACTTGAAGTTAGTGAATTAAATTATTTGGTGCCTACAATTCGTTTGCTAATGCTAAACGGCCAGTTAACATTGTATGAAGGTTGGAGAGTGAATGGCATTATTTACAGCAAGCAAGGTACTTATAGCTACATTCTGTTGGCAGCTATTCCATCGAAGTATTGAATGTGATACTCATAACGCAGTCTAGCCATTTGTCTAATGATTAATTCGTTGTTTTTCGGAATTGCATAAACTAGGCTGATATGCAACTTGTGACTTTGGTCAACTAATTGAAAGGCTGAAAGCTTGCCAGTGTTTACGTTTATACCGGTGAACAACTTAACGAATTTCTGGACATGGAAACTCATGTAAAGGAACAATTTACAAGCTGACAATATCTGTGCTTAATATTGACCACTTCCACGTTGATTCACTTATTGAAATATTTAAATTTATATAACAACTATACTCACTTTATTTTTTCCGTAAATCTTACTACAAGTGAAGAGTTCGTATCGTCTCAGATACTATGAAAACCTGGTGAAAGTTAGTAGTTTCTTGCATCATGAATCTTGTTAATATTCATCCGAATACACTGTAATAGGAAAGAAACCTATATATACGACTCAATGTTTTAGCAAAGCTTCTAAACTAGTGCGGTACTTAGAAGTTCTCATAAGAAAACAGGTACTCATAAAGCAAACACTTAATTGTTTCTAATTTCTACAAAAAGTTATTCTTTAAGATTGTCAGTATACCTCCCCATGAAACAACACTTAAGGCTAAACTAAAAATTGGGCAAAAGTTTATTATTACATCATTACTACTGGTAAATAAAGGACACCACTTGATGCAGAAAAATCAGTTTACAAGTTATAAATATAGGTAAGTTTTAATCACAACCGCGAAAAATTGTGATAAACAGTTCCTGTCACGTCTCCACACTTTCTAATATTCTGAGTCATGTTTCTATCGTGAATAAGACTACACAAAAATAGTCGTTAGAGAATCTAGAGTATTACCTAGTTACTGGTAATTCTCAGATAATGATTGTCAGCTTCCTTCTCCACTATCACAACAAACAGCTAACCATATTTATCCAATCTGCTTTTTGTTCATTTTCTGGATTCGCCGAGTCTGTAAATATTGGTTGCTTCATCTGAGGAACTAAACTTGTGCATTATGATAGAAAGCATTTGTGTTGTATACCTTCTATCAAATAGAGTGCCTAAGAATATGATCAATTATGCGCTTTATACTTGGCAAGTGGTTGGGCTTTGCTTCAAGAGTTCATCTCCTCATGTATGATAGTGGCATATGGCGGCAAGAATATCGGGATGTCACAAACGTTCAACAGTCGCACTCGCGAATGTTGGTATCTCCCTCATAGGATCGGACACAGTAAATTATAAACATTCAATGACCGTTTTCATATTTCATATAAACAAATCGCATCATTTTGAGTTCCAATATAGTTTTTTCCGTGAAAAGGGTTTAAGATGGTTGATAATCAGAAGTACTCGTCATGGTGCATCGTACTTTTAGCACCTACAAGGTACTGTCATATCTTCAGTGCTTATATACGCTTATTTGTGGAGAGATGAGCTTTCTTACTCTTTATATCTGCAGCATTGATCTGACCGAATAGTTCGTTCCTTAATACTTTCAACTGCTTCATCTATTGACGGTGTTAGCAGTATCATCAGCTTCTAACATTCTTTGTCTTTTGAGGACAATCTTCTTATCCATGAATCACAAACCATCCATGAGGTACCACAAGAACGATTTTGAAGCACCGTAAATAATTTTAGGACATATTCTTCCCCCTTCAAAGTCATACAGAACACTGTAAGTTTGAAAACCTGGCCGTAAACTTCACATATTACCCAAATCGGGATTTGATATGGTTATTTATTCACTAAAGAAATGGCTTACACTAAGTCACGAGACGTCAGAAAATCTAATTTCTCTAGTCATCGGGATATCACAAACATGTTATTATTTGTAATAATCCACCCAATGCTCAATTATCGAGTCAAAGTATGGTAATGATACCTACCATATTACTTAAATTTCTCTCGGTATTAAGCCTTAGGGTTAAGGGTTATGACCAAATGTGCACTGAAACACCACAAACATGCATTTAAATTTCATTGTTTTCGACATGGATTTAATGAGCATAAGTAGTTCAAAAAGGGATAACATTATTCTTTTTTGACTTGTTAGAATCCGCTTAGCTATCTGTCTAATTCAGTCCTGCTTCCGAAATGACTGCTGTTTTATGTGTCAAAACACCTCGCTCAATTCGAAAGTGATATCTCTTAATCATGAAGCACTAAGAACCGTACCGATTAATTATATAAGAATACAACCAGTTAATTACTGTAGTAATATTTTACCAACATCAGGAAATATTACTTGTATTCAAGGTGAAAGCTTAAAACTTACCGGTTATTTGACATTTCGTCTTCAAGTTCGCGTACAACAGTGGTTAACAAAAAGTTCGTTTATCGGAAACTGTTAAGTTATTATTATTGCGTTATTTTCTAAATCTTCTCAGGTTTTAAGTAAAGGTGGTGAGGTTCAGTAGAGAAATCGTTATGCGGGATCAAGTTACTAGGCAGCAATCGAACCAGGGTGTACACCACAAAGTATAGAATGTTTTGTCGTTGTTTATTGCGGTGATTTTGTGATTTCACTGAAGTAACAGACCACTTAAATATAAGAACACTTAAAATCCATGTGACCCAACGGATAACCAGCCAAAACACATAAATTGAAACACGGAATGGCCACCTCGTGTCAGGCTGTTCAAGGTCTTTGAAACGGAACGGCATGTGTCTTTGAGTAAGCCTAACATTTTTACGGTCCCCAAAATGCTAATAACTCTTTTCGACATATCCCAAAAATATATTAAGAACCGTGTTAATTTAAAGACATGTTTAGAAATAAACATTATTGTGCTCTTGTAGTAACCGAGTAACATATATATTGCTGGACAGATCACTAAGTTTCAACAAATGTTCACTATCATTTTTGTTCTCTGTGTATCATAACTGTTTGGAAATATTTCATATGCTCCCATCGCTTCCTGAAAACTCTAGGGATTTTCAAGCATGTCTTCCCTTTGCATCTGTTTGAAATATAACCTTCCGGTATCTAACTTGTTTGACCTGATTAACAAACCTTCATCTGACGGTGATTTCTCGTTACTCAGTCCTTGGAAACAATCTTGAATAACTAGAATAGGAACAAATTGGGACAGTTAATAAGTAGAAAAGTTATATTCTTCATTCTTTTAGCTCCTCGCTTTTGTCACAAACAATTCCTCCACCATACTTTTAGTAATTTTTTCTCATGAGCAATAGAATTTACTACTTATTCATACTTAAGTCTTTTTGGTGAATGACGGTTGATGACCATTTGTATAGATCTGTCCACTTTAATGCAATACGTCCAGTAAATTCAGTAAAACGTTGCGTCGATTATCGCAAAAGATAAAAGTCTACTTTCGTTACTAAATGTCCAGCTTCTAGTATCGTGTGGTAGGCACCAGTAATGCCACATCACCAGGTATCCTAAGGATATTTAGTTTTGAAGCCAAAATTTTTTCCCGCATCTTCTAGGATGGAATAGGTAAATAATCAGAACAAAATAAAAATAAAGTAGAATATAATGTGTCCAATAGAATGTCCTATCCCAGTCGTTATTTCATTCTGGTATTTGTGTGAATGTTAAGCCTACCTATATGTTAACTGTTTCATTAGCCAGCTTAGTAA